GCAGGCTCAAGTCAGGTTATTACTCTGGGGGAGAAAGAGGGAGTACGTGCAAAGGCCAAATTTCGGCTCAAAGTAACTCCTGGCGCGTTGTTGACTTTTCTTCCGACATATTCCTCTTACAGTCGTCTCTTGGAAAGTCCCTGATATATTGCGTACAGTAGTAGGTAATTTCTACAATCTTCGTTACACTTATTGGGTATAGTTTGTTAAAATTTAACTGGAAACAATAGTTAAACAACTCGCTGAAAAAGTTTGTGAGTTTCTGATCTAAGAGAAACAATCCTCTTTTTCCTTTATGGTTAATTATTGCAATCAGAAGCTCCGCTCTTAGGCTTGGCTAAATCTATATATTGATAATACACGAGAAGCCCAACCTTTTTGGTGGGGGTGTGCGGCCTGAACCTTGAAACCAGTACCTAATATCGATACCCCATTTCAGGCCTTACGCGGCTCAAATATGTGACCAAGCTAACCAGAATTGGCTTTCATTTGCGTTAACACTTGAGAAGGGTTACAAATTTGCCAATGTTGATGCGGAAAAAAATTGTTCCTTGCTAACAAAATAATGCCAAGCCAGAGTTAAAATCATACCCAATTTCAAACCAAAATGGTTAAAATCTATATCCTTTTACAGACCAAACACATACCTATATAGCCCATACCAGGGAACACTTACCCCACCCCCCGGGATTGGATCACCCAATAAGGTAGATTACAAAGAAATCTTAACGTATCGTTGTTCTCTCGTTAAAATGGAACTGAAATAGCACAAACCTCCTGCAGGGCCAATTACCGATGCTCCAAATAAACCGTAGCATAGCATTCTGGCTGGTAAACTTGGATTCACTAAGCAAGAGCGGATATCATTGCCTCTGTAATCGAAGGTCTCGTCCAGCTGAAAATCTTCATTTTTCCATGTTGGTTGCTTCACTTGAAGAGACAGTCTACCAGGCCCGTCAGCTACTTGAGACAAACATTTCCAGATGGCATCTAAGTGTTTCTTGAGATCTTTGTCCTTTTCCACCATTACTTGTAATCTCTGATTGAGACCGTCGCGGCATCGGTCGAGAGCGCTTTCCCTGGAAACTCCATTTCTCAGGTCTTGCTCGATCTGCCTCTTAAATGTGGCCAGGTGCTGGTCTCGCTGGAGACGTCTCATTACGTCGAGAAGACTGTTTGATATTTGAGAAAGGTGTGAGTTGATGTTGTTTTCAACATCATTGACCTTGTTCATACGTTTAGATAGCCTCTGTATTCTCAGCTGCTTTCGATTTTCCATGATTTTGCTCAGATTTCCTGACAAGGCCTTTGCTTCTGCTGTGAACTTTTCCAGGTCGTACTTTAGCGTGTCAAATTTCAAGGCTCCTTTGGAAGCTTCCACCAAGTTGCCTTCGAATTCCTTGAAGCCTTGAAAACCTTCCGTTTCTGCAGTTTCTGGAGTGGTGGACGATGTTTCGTTCTAATGGTTATGAATGGGAAAAGGCTGTCAGGTGAAATTTACATCTAACTGAAATGGGAGTGTAACTTGAAATGGACACGGTAGAGGGCGTTATGATTTCGGCGGTGGTAGAAGTATTAAATGTAAATTATGCCATATTGATGAGGTCCAATATGGCCGAAAAAGCCATCGGTGGCTGTTAAATAATCCATTAGCAATTAAGCAAATTAAATGCCCGCTACATAGAGTCCCTAAACAATCTAGACATCAACCTCTTCTGTTGGTCTCTTATAATTAGTAACCGAGGGCGCTATAATTACACTGCAACCTTACCTTAATGACAGGTTGATTCCTTGCGTCCCTTTGGGTCTGAGAATCAATAAAGAAAACTCTGCCTCTGTCCGAGACAGCGCTCATGAATTCTGCAGAACAGCGTGCCTTGATGTCCTCTGCAGTGGTATCGCCATACTCTTCGGCAAAATTGTTTCCTTTGAACACGTCCCACTTGGTGAACACGCCAAGAGTGTATCTACAGTTCACGGCCTTCACGAAATCAACAACCTGATTTGATGATAAATGAAACTAACAGTCATATAATGGTAAAATAACAAGGGTGGCACTTCATAGTCTCACGTCTGAAAAACCTGCGATTCTCGGATTCGATTTGGAATCATCGAAAAATATGGTTCTACGAAAAGCGAATGACTATTTGGCGAATTTTTTCGTCATGAAGTAGATAAAGCAAATCAACTGCCGTGGTGAATTCTAAAAACGGACGTTTAAAGTTTAACTCCCTCGTCTGATTAAATGTTAATGATTGCTGCAAACGTCTAACACTCGAGAAGTCACCCGGTTTGAACTTGATTAACAGTCAGGGACCTTGACGACCCCCACAGACGCAGCAAAACTAAAACTCTCAGTTTCATTTATCTAGGGTCAGTTTTTCAAAGGGTCGTTAACGCTATGTCCGGGATAAACTACTATACAATGGATAGAGTAGTTTGTTTTGTGAAAACTTATGGACTGGATAGAGATTAATCTCAGTCGGGTACTCAGTTGCAGGGGTGGGAAGGTGAGGCGAAGAACTAGGCATTAAAATCAGCAACAGAGAGAGGACTAGGAAGAGCCCATTCTCCCATTTCACTAAAACTAGAGAAGATATAAAGCTAAATCAGAATCTGTGTGAATTTGTAATTTCAGTGTTGTAATCTTTTCGAGAGATTTTTGTTCCTATCTTGTGGCTGCGACCAATCTAAAACTCTGCCAAACATAAACATGGGCAAAAACATTTGTAGACGACAAGGGATGAAAAACCTAGCGCAAATTTGAATCCCTGATAAGCGTTAATCACCTTTCCAACAACCAGTCACAGAACTATATAGCACAAGACTGATCCGTCAGTAGAACTGGGTATCTTAAACGCGGTTTAATAGACGCATTCTCATGAAAAATTGGTAATTAAAAGTGTATTGCCAATTTTTTGTGGAACATCAAAACCGAACTTCCTGAAGAGTATTATTGCTTATTCTCGTAACATTTGACAGCTAACTGTCAACTTATTTAGATTAGTCATTTACTTTGCATATCAGTGCATATCGCAAATTGTGACAATTTAGTGCTTTGTCTATTGTTTTAAAAACATGTGGGCGCAATTCTGCGACTGCTATGCACCATCAGACCTATATTATGAAGGGAAAGAAAATTAACACGATTAAACAACGGGCTCCGGCGAAGAGGTAGCATAAATGTATCGAAAAAGATTTTAGTAAGCTTATTATCTAGAGGGCAACATCATGGCGGAAGTAAAATTCGATCTAATACAAAGATGGCGTCCGCAAACTGCATTTGTAACTGTTAAACAATATTTCGCTCTCAGTTTTGGCACTTCGCTCCTTGCCGTTGGAACTACGGGCAGATGAAGCGATACCTTTCGCCCTCCTTGGCCTGTGCTGATGCCGTGTGATGCAAGCAAGAGCAATGAAGTTGCGCTTCGAAAAACACATGGTTTTTGCATAAATTATCTCTGTGTTACATTTCATATAATGCTGACTCACTACTCACGGTTCTTAGAGTTGGACTGTGAATATCCATGACGGCCACAATCACGTCTACAAATTTGCAGAGCTCAATCACTGCGTCATCCGTAGCCTTCCGTTCTCCTATACCCGGAGTATCGTACAAGACAACGCTTTCAACCAGAGCCTTGCATCGTGACGAAGGCCAGTTCACTTCAATTATGCTGGAAGGAGTAATGCCGAGTCTTTCTCTCTGTGCTCTGGCTTTAAGAACGTGAAGAAGTTGTCGGAACTCGGTGATCTCTAAAGCTCTTCCAGTGCTTCTTTCAACTGCTGTCCATTGATTGCTAGACGACCCAGTCACTGCCACGAGACAAAATGTGGTTTCCGCTCTAGTCACAGGCATGATGTCCTCTCCCAGTAACGCGTTTATCAATGTCGATTTTCCAGCACCAACGGAGCCAACAAAAGCGATTTGTAGTTTGCTGTTCGCTCGCTCTGTTAGCTGAATTGCAGACACATTCAGCTGGTCTACTCGGGCGGAGGCCCTCTCGAAGTCTTGCCATTCGCTTGCGGTAGCACATTGTTCGTTGAGGAAACGGCGAAGTTCATCTCTAGTTTCAATAAGGTTACTTATTGATCCTTCTAGCTGCTCTCTTATTAGCCTGATCTGCCGAATTCGTGGTGTAAAATTGGCGAACATTTTTGATTATGCGATTGCTTTGCAAAGATGTAGCAGGGATTTCATTTGAAAACGCCAAACCCGAAATGAGGCCACTTATCAATGGAAGTTTGCATTTGAATAATTAGTATGCCTACTGACCCCAGACGGATTTTGTCTGTACGGTCACCCTGACACAATACATACCTAAAAACTTAGAACAATATACACTAAGCTACAGTTTGGTTGTATTTCTCAATGCAGCTTTGTTATTTCATATTTACTGGTTTTCCATGGTTTCTATGGAAACGTGGGAGTATTTTACGAAAAATTAGGGGCCTGTTTACAAGTAGGGGGGGGGGGTTACCCTAGCAAGCGGGCTAACCCTAGCTGGAGGGCAAAAGATAGCCCGGGTTTACAAGCAAAATTTCACGGGTACCCGGGACAACTTAAGGCGCGGTTACACCCAAAGGATCTGGAAACAAGTAGAAAAGTAACCCGGGTAGGCGGGTTAACCCTACCTGGAGTGTTAACAAGGGAAAAAGTTAACCCGTCTGCCAGGGTAACCTTAGCATGCAGATAGGGTAACCCGCCTACCCAGGTAACCCTGGCTGCCTTGTAAACACGACGAAGTAAAAAGAGGAAACGTGTGAGTCCTAAGTTAAGCCGCATGCTAGGGTAACCCGCTTGCTAGGGTAACCCTATCTCCTTGTAAACAGGTCCTGACAGCTATTTGTTAACAAGCGTAAGGTTAAAATGGATGATATGATATCACCCAAAGTGTAACATTTTTGCGTGGTTATTTACGAGAACAACTCGAAGTCCATAAATGCGCGAAAAAACCAGTAGTCTGATGTAGGACATTCGGGACACAACTCTCTTGAGGGGTATAGTGGATAATCCAGAACGGGAAAGTTCTCGCTTGGGTAGTCAATCACAACGCAGAATTTGGTTCATCCTGCACACTTGCGGAGTTAGCCTTGTAAACATCATTGTTGAACAAGAAATAATTGGGTTAAATGCATAGGGAAATTGAAAATTGAATACCAACTGCATAATTTTCGGGCCATAGAGGAATTTTTTTAACATAAGTTTGCTTTACTGGGCTATTCATTAGATTGGTAGTGCCGTTTTAGTCTGGGTAAAAAACACAACAAGACCGCAGCCTTAATTACCATTTAATCTTCGATTTATCTTAAACCAGATTGTGACTACAAATGGTAAGATGGTCCACAACCTTCCGGGGTTAATGCCTACCAGCAAATTCTGCAAAATAATTTAAGAGGATGTAAAAGCCCACAGTCACCGAATTGTCAATGGGTTGATACAGGAACCAGGCTAGTACAAAGAAAACGGCATTTTTTTTTCTTCTTCTCACTTTTGGCGCATTATATCAAGGATGGGGTCATCTATTTCTGTTTGACAAGGCGAAATTTATGACAGAGGTTAAATGGTCGTGGGCAATAGTGGACTCTTCATATTACGCGAATCTCGGTGATCATTATATTACTTCTAAAGGTATTTTTCATAGCTTTATCACATTCATTACCAACTAAAGTCGATGTGCTACCAAACTTTAGATTTGTAAAGTCGGTCTTACCTGAGCGGCTGTCTACCGCACTTATTACACCTAACATCGCCGAACAAAGCTCCGCGAAGCAGTTTAAAATCATTCAGCAACTAATTACAATCTCTCTCAGCATTCATCAAAAATTATTGCAAGAAATCAAAGATATGTCAAGATGTTTAAAGAGATAACTCAAAATCGAAATCATCTTCTACTGCATCTTTGGCGTGTTGGCAAATCTCATCAACATTCGCCTCTGGTATGCCAAAGGGAAGCTCTTTCCACTTCTTGAACATCTTTCGACGAGGATTCGGATCTGGAAATTCTAGAACAAAGCTGCATATCTTGATGCACATCCACTCCACCCCAGAGATGAGGGCCGTCACCCCCCAGTCTGCATGGCACTCTTTGCAATAGATCTTCTTGTTCATTTCGATGTCATCGATTATCTTAGGATTGGGATGCTTCTTTTTGTCAACCTAAGGAAAAAAAAAAGGAAGTTTGAAATAATGGACACACCCACAACGTGATTCAATCATTATTGCAACATCACACAGCTTCAATTTCATAATTTACATGTTATATTATTGCATGCCTCGTAAACTGATTCATCCTGTGAATGGTTTGGCCTTATGTCTGGAAACGTTCAGACAAACAACTGAGACAATTGTGTATGAAGTACTGACAAAGTGTTTTCGGGGTTCAAACATAGTTGGAACACATTGCAAGCCTGGTACGAGGTGTTTTACATAAGTATCGAGCCATACTGGGGGAGGCGCCAATGGTTTCTTGTGTTTGTAAGCAGCAGGTTTTGATATGTACATATTTTGGGCGTAAACCCGGCGCTAAATTTATAAGATTTTACTCGAGTGCTCTTCGTCAGGATAGAAAAACACAACAATTCTACCCCATCAACGGTTGCATTCTCTTTTCGCTGGTATCAATCATTTTAGCAGAACTCTCAGGAAACTGGCGTTCATAACTCGTTCGTTTGATTCGTAATTGTTACTGACGGTATAGTTTTGATTTTGAAAGAATTGCAAAGTTGGGAGATGGCTTTACCTTGGATTTCGCAAAGTCTCTGTTTATGACCACGTGGTGACTTTCTTTGACCGTTCGGATGTCATGGGCTTGACATGCCTCAACGTTACACTTCCGGCAACGGAAGGTGACGTCCCCTGGTAGATGCTCTGACTTTAGGGTAGCAATCACGTGTTTCTTGAGGAATCGATCCTGAAGGTTCTTACGTTGTATGTCCTTTACCTGCATAAAGGAGAATAAATTCCAGTCTCAGACGTATTTCTTGGGGGTAAGTGGGTTGACGGGGGGAAGGGGCGTTCAATGAGGACATTCTCATGCTAATTGAAAATGTGGCAAGGGAACGACATCGAAAATGCTGCTGGTCAGTATATGTACTACAAAGGAAATAATGGAATAACAACATTAGGTGCAATTTTCATATAAATCCCGCTGCCTGTTGAATATTGCATTGCAAACTGGCTTTCTAAGCTACACCACATTTAACGACCAGGCAAGGAAACATAGCGGATTGTTGGTGATGAAGTCTTTGTTAGTTCTAAAGACACCTCTTAATTGAAGGCGTCGGGAATTTGGAAATGACTTCCAAGACCTTAATTTAGACAGAAACTTTTTCAAGGCGTTGAAAATCGTAAGCAGCTGCATTTGTACATCGGATGATTTGATGAGAGCGCCGCTGACCCTTTGAATTACAAACGCATGCATGGTACGTGTTTGAAAAACAAAAAGATGAACATAGTGCAGTTATAAACTGTGGCGAACATACCCGTTGCATAAATGTTTTTGGATCCATGCTTTGCACTTGACTAAGAGCTTCAATCATGAGGCTTTCCCGAAATTGGCTTGTTTTTTCCCTCTTCAACGCTCCCGAGTCTTGGCCCACTAACACGCTGTACTTTCCCTCGTCTGCCCTGGTGTATTAAACAAGTATTCGAAAAGGTCAGACGCCGTATAAAGTACGCTCCTTGTAGTAAAAGCGACAAAGTCGAAGTCGAAATTGAACTAATCGAAATCAAAATACATGTAATTAAAATAGGCAAGTCAGACTTTTCTTGCTGACTCCCTTTCCTTTGCCCAGACTCAGTTGACCCGAATCTAAAAATAACTTAAAAGTTGATTTCCTCTCAGGATGCGACAGCGTTAGTCACCGAGAGCAATCCTTTCAATCTATAACTGGATTATTAAGCAAACTTTGCTATTGAACAAATTCATGATAAGAGTCGCATACCGTAAAATCCTACGTTAAGGCCCTGGGCTTATAAAACTTCATTAGCGGTTTTAGGTGGGCTTATAAACAGGGTTGGCTTATATTCGGAGGGGGGGGGGGGGGG